GCTTTTCCCCGACTCACCAGCACCTGAAGAAGATGGTAATCGATTTAGTGTTGCGGTTATTGCTTTAATTCATTTTTATTGCATGCATATTCACCGCTGTTCAAAAGTGTAGTCAGTAAGATTTTTAAATGTTTTTGAACAAAGTCTCTTCAAAATGCTCACCAAGGCTGCATTTATTTGATAAAATATACAGTAAAAACAGTAATATTGTGAAATTATTAATAACTTAAAATAACTGTTCTATTTTAATATTTTTTGAAATGTAATTAATTCCTGTGATGCAAAGCTGAATTTTCAGCAGTCATTACTTCAGTCTTCAGTGTCACATGATCCTTCAGAAATCATTCTAATATGCTGATTTAGTGCTCAAGAAACATTTATTTTTATTATCAATGTTGAAAACAGTTGTCCTGCGAAATATTTAAGTATTTTTTCAGGATTCTTTGATGAACTAAAATAACAGAACAGTATTTATTTATTGATATAGAAATCTTCAACATCAAACTTTTGTAATATTATGTCTTCATGTATTAAAAAAAGAGTATATACGTACATATATATATATATATATATATATATCACATTTTTATTACAGATATTTTCTGTAATATTATTCCCACCTAACATTAAAGTTTTTAAATATACTTTTATATTGAAACTTCAGTATTGAACTTAAAACAATCTTCACATAAAACCATTATAATAAATGTCATATTTAGCTGTGCCCTTCAGCAAGTAGGAAATATACAGAAATTGAGTCAAGTTATCAAACACTAAATTCTAAATTAAATATAGATGAGTCCTTAAAGCTCTGTTTTCTTTTGTTCTTTGATTAACAGACCTCAAATAATAAAAATAAATAAAAAGAATAACGCAGTTAAACTGAAAAAATTAATTGCATGCGTTAGCACGCTAATTTTGACAGCACCAGTATATATATATGGTTTTTGAATAGATAAAAAAAAAAATATATATATATATATATAATTTTTATCTATTCAAAAACCATAGATCTACATTGTGCCAGTGTTTTGAGGGGTAACACCACTAAGATTTGTCAAACTGTAGACATTCAAACAGTAAGATTTATTTATTTATTTTGGCATGCAAATGTGAATTAATGAATACATCCTTCTCCTCGATTGTGTTTATCTTTTGGAGGATTACATTAAGAGGCTTATTATTTTTGTCCTAAGCCTTGTCAAAGCTTGACGTCCCATGACCCTGACCCACATCACCTCACGGACAAAGACACACACAGTTATGATAGACAGAGATACAACTTTTGTTGAATATAAATGCATACTTTTAATACGTATTGATTCTGGCATGCAAGTTGTTTTCTAGGCATGCAAGTTGTCACTTTTAGTGTCTTTTGTAATAAGATTTAGATATTGAGAAATATCACATTTTATGAGTCTCCAGTTTGATTCCACATTGGTTTGAATTTCAGTAAGGCATCAATTTTCATCTTGCATTTGAGCTTTAAAGAATTAATATTCCTTTCATATAACAAAAAACAAATTGATAAAACAAAATGTGAAGTCATTGCCTGTTTATTATGAAGTTTTAAATGGGAAGGCTTCACAACACATCTGCAATATACCATTTTCCAAATCTAGCAAGTGAGCTATTCTTCATGTTTTGACTTGACCAATCATTTGAGTCGACTTGTGTGTTGTTACCTAGCAGCAGAAGTTTGACGGTCCTGGCATCTTTGTCGGCGTCCTCTTTCAGTTTCTTCTCTAGCTCCCTGGAGTGTTTGTCCTCAGCGCTCCCCCCGGCCCCCATTCTGACTCTTGATTAGGGAAAAGAAGTCCTTCTGTATGACCACTCGCTTGTCCAGAGGCCTCCAGGTGCTGACAACAATACAGCTCACACCTCGACTGGATCTTGGTGACCTGATAAATTGTTTAGAGTCTTAGAAGGATTTTGGAGATGTCTCTGACCACCTGGGTTGGTGGGGCCAATGAAGAACAAGGACAGAAGGCATTGAAAGCGTAGAGAGGTCATCTAACCTCAGATTTAAGGAGAAGGTGCTGTGCTCAGCAAAAAGTGTTAATCTGGCCAGCATCTTCACAAGCAGATGAGAAAGGCCATGGAGAATTTATGAGTGGAATAATGTGATGTTGCAAATGTTACAATTGTTTGCCATCAGCTGATGACCATTATGATATTTAAGGTAGAAGCTCAAAGTAAATGGGTCTCATAAATGATTGGTTATGTTGACTTTGAACTTGATAAGTTTTCCTATATCTATATTCTGTTGAAAATGTGCTTGACCTCATGAAAGAAAATTACATCTCTATGGCCTACATTTTTGGCTTTTTCTATAGAACTTGGACTGAATGCGAAGGTGTTTTTGATGTTGAATATTGAAATCTCTGTGAGTAATTCTAATCTCACCTTCCCACTGTAGTCATCAGGATCAGTTGACACTTTCCAGCGGACACAGTGTGCAGTGCAGCATTTTAAGAGCTTTAGTCCTTTACCTGACAGAGCTCATTGACCCCAATCTGAAGATTGATACATTTTAATCCACATGTATCACAGATGAGAGAGACACTTTCTTCATTGTACTTCATCAGTAGCAATTCATTTAAATATTTTGAGAGTTTGTTGCAAGTTGTTTAATACATGTTTAATGATCAAATGAGCATGTGTATCTTGTTAAACATTGTTTAAAAAAATACTCAAAAACTAGTATCAATAAAGCTTTTCTTAGGCCACACTTTATAATAAAGTTTCCGTAAAGAAACGTTAACATCCATAAATCCTTTCTACTGCACAAAAGGTTCTTTATGGTGGAAAAGCTTCTTTATATGTCAGGGGTGTCCAACTCAATTCCTGGAGGGCAGAGCCCTGCAGAGTTTAGATCCAACCCTAATTAAACACACCTGGTCCAACTAATTATGTCTTTTCAGGCTTATTTGAAAACGACATGGTATGTGTGTTGGTGCAGGGTTGGAACAAAACTTTGCAGGGCTCCGGCCCTCCAGGAATTGAGTTTGACTCCACTGTTATGTTCTTCACACTAAGAAAAAAAAATGGTTCGTTTAAGAACTCTTCATGGAAAGGTTCTTTGGGAAGGAACCAAAATGGTTCTTCTATGGCATCGCTGAAAAATCCCCCTTTGGGAACTTTTTTAAGAGTGTACAGTGGATTAAAAAATGTATTTGCATGTAGCTGGGGACATACACTCTGAGTATTAATGGGCTATTCTTAGGAACCAGTGCCACTTCTGCAACAATTTTGTCCTCAAGACTTAATGTACAATTATAATTATCAAGACAATGAACAGTCATGTTTGATAGATCTCGGTTTAGTTTGTAATGCAAAAATAATTTTTAAATAAAACTTTTTTTTTTTTTTTTTAAATGTTCCATTGAGTGATCAGATTTTTTTAGTTACACTAATATTAATTAGAAAATGGCTAAAACTTTCACAACTAACAAACGTTATCACACCATAGCACATTATTTTGGTTACTTTTGTGAATTACATAAATCATGTTTTGAAATAATTTTTGTTTTTATGAATGCCAGAGATTAAATAATGCATCATATAATCTTATAATCCGTATTAAAGATACAAATCACACTTGTTCTTGTGAATGACCCTAATGTAAAATTACCAAACAATGTACAGTTAATTAAATAGGCAAATCAACATTTTAAGACCAGCTTCCTTGGTATACTTTTGGTGTAAAGTGAACAACCTAATTTCTTATCGTAACCTTCTTCGTGTCTCTTTCAATCTTTGTTAAGTCTGCAAAAGAAAGGAAGCATAAGTTCACCAAGTAATATATCTGCAGAAAAGCCAACCTGTATTTGTTATAAAATATATAACTTTAATTAGTCAACAACGATGGAAAAAAACATTACTATAATATTAACTGTTCATAACATCTAATTCTGGATCTTTTTCACATTAGAATATCCTAAAGAAGACAAAACAAGGGGGCAAACCACAGTGATGAATAATGTCTTACAAATGAAAGGAAAAAAATACATTTACAACAACCATTTCACACAGCCTGTTGAAAGAAAATCAACGGAGGCAAAACAGACACATCAGGTAATTGTGCTTGATTTCATCACTAGTTCAGCAAAGTCCACTGTCTTTAAAAAACAGTCTCTCTATCTCTCGCTCTCGATTCATTATGCCAAAGACCATACAGCAACACAGCAATATCCAGAATTTGACTACATATCTGTACAGTACAAATACAATTCATGCAAACTCAAACAAGCCCCCAAAAAATTTAATTCCAAATGATTTAATGCTTTCAAATGATCACTTATTAAATGTTTAGAGGTGCTTGCTTGGACGCTTGTTACTGAAAATGGCTGGAGAGGTACATATTTAAAAACAACACTTTAAACAATTCTGCTTTGCAAAGAGATGGACAGGTTTTGAACCCCCCTGCTTTTAGACATTCTTTGCGTGCAATACATATTTACATAAATGAAAAGAACAGAAAAGTGATGTACATACTGTACAGGAGGCTGTAATCAATAATAAACCAAACGTATAACACACAGAAACGACTTTATATTTTACACACATTAGCATAGCAACATATGGAAGATCAAGAAGCTTAAAAGATGAGTTTCTGATGATATTAAAGTGTTTTTCCGAAGTCTTTTGGGAGGTCACAGAATACTCAGATGCACCAAATATATGTAGAAATTCTTTATCCGTACATCTGCAGAATGAGAACACGTGCTCGGCTAAAACAGTCCGCCAAACTGCTTTAGTCCCATCTTTCCTCCAGTATCAAAACATCAAGTGCAGTCAAACTGTCCATCAAGAGTTTCAAATGTCCCACTATCCCATTAGTGGTATATACATAAAGTTTTATCATAACAGTCACGTGTGATATTATGTTAATACTGTTGTAATAAATATATTGGAAGAAAAGTAACAATGATAACAAAATATTTGCACAGATCTATACACAAAACCTTTTTTTTCTCTCTCTTTTTTTTTTTTTTTTGCTATTTCCATACAAAGATATCCACAGAATCTAACTATGTACAGCCTACAATAAATACTATGAATTTTCAAAAACGGATTGTTTATTTTTTCCTCTGTCATAATGGTTGCGGGTATATGTTTGTGTGTAATGGTAGTCAAAGACCTTGAGGTCAACCTCAAGTCTCATTCATTTGGATGGAGTGGGTTTTTCCATCTCATGTCTCAGCCATGTTGCTCTGCTCCTGGTGGTGTCTCCTGTTTCGTGGCTTCCGGAGGTCCTTCTGTTCTTCCTTGAGGTCCTTCTTCTTGTGTGTGTGAGCTGTGGGGTCGTCCCCCATCTGCCAGTAGTCCTGGCAGTACTGGTTGATGAGGCCCATCTCTGGTTGGCTGAGGATGGTCAGCAGGTCTTTGTACTGCTCTGCGCTGGGCGTCCAGGTGCTCGACTGGATAGGCGGCGCGGCGGGAGCGGTGGATTCGGTCTGGATGGTGTTGATGGTGCGCGCGGAAAGTACCACCAACTGAAGTTTGACCAGTGTGTGCTTGAAGTTCTTCTCAGTGGAGGTGCACAGGTAACCCCCTCCATCAGAGAGCTGGAGAGAGCGCAGGAAGAGACCCTGCTCCATACGAATGACACGCCCGTCAGAACGGATCTGAAATACATAGGTTGTTGGGGGAAAAAATTAAGATTTTAGGTTAAAATGTACATTAATGCGAAAAGGGATATTTTTTATGTAATGGTCATAATTTTTTGTCATAGTTTCATTCACATAGTACATGTATCAATAAGCATGAAGTCAAAACAAAATCCATAATTTAAAAAAAATACAATGTAATGTTTTTTCATGTCATGTCTCGTATGCTCATCAAGGCTGCATTTATTTTATGAAAAATACCATAAAACAGTAATATTTTGAAATATTATTATAATTTTAAATAACTGTTTTCTATTTTAATATATTTTAAAATGTATTTTATTCCAGTGATGGCAAAGCTGAATTTTCAGCATCATTACTCCAGTCTTCTGTGTCACATGATCTTTCAAAAATCATTCTAATATGCTAATTTAGAAATATTTCTTATAATTCTCAATGTTAAAACTAATTTTTGCTGCTTAATATTTTTCCATTCAAAGGGGTAAGGGGTAAGTAATATATATATATATTATTTCTGAATATAATATTAATTATTTTATTTAACATGGATGCATTAAATCGATGAAAAGTGGCAAAAACATTTATAATGTTATGAAATATTTCTATTTGAAAATAAATGCTGTTCTTTTGAACTTTCTATTCATCAAAGAATCCTGAAAAAAAAAAGTTTAATGGTTTCCATAAAAATTTTCAACATTGATTATAATAATAAATGTTTCTTGAGCAGCAAATCAGCATATTATTACAATCCTTTCTGGTAGCACTTTAGTATAGGAACCAATTTTTACTATTAACTAGTTGCTTATTAGCATGCCTATTGTTAACATATTGGCTGTTTATTAGTACTTATAAAGCACATATTCTGCATGACCATATTCTACATGCCTAATCCTACCCAATACCTAAACTTGACAACTACCTTGCTAAGTATTAGCAAATTAGGAGTTTACTGAGGCAAACGTTGTAGTTAATGGCGAGAATTGGACCTTAAAATAAAGGGTGACCTAATTTCTGAAGGATCATGTGACACTAAAGACTGGAGGAATGGCTGCTGAAAATTCAGCTTTGCCTTCACAGGACTAAATTACACTTTAAAGCATATTAAAATATAAAACAGTTATTTAAAATTGTAATAATATTTTACAATTTTACTGATTTTATGGTATTTTTCATCAATTAAATGCAGCCTTTGTGAACATAAGAGACGCCTTAATTATTTTTCAATATTTGACCAGTAGTGTACAGGATTATATTAAGCAAATAATATCACAGGCAAAAAAAATGCATTATTAAAATTACACAACATATAGAAAATGTTGATTTAAAATTACATCACTTATGGTATAACATTATGTCCCACACACCTCTCTCCTCCTATCGCTGTTCTCCTTTTGGAAATGCCACTTGATTGACACATGAGGAGATCTGGCCTGGCACTCCAGGAAGGATGTGCTTCCCTCTACTCCATACTGCACTGTCTCCAACGTGTTCTTATTGGCTGGCAGGAATTAAAACAAAAATACCATCTAAAACAATAACCAAAATCAAAAGGAGGTCTTTTACTTCTTCCAAAGTGTGATTTAATAGACTAAAAGTATCTTAAGACTAAGTGTATTTTTTGGGTTTCTCACCATTGGAATTATAGCCCCTGCATTGTCTTATAGGGTTGCCATACTTCACATCTTGCCTCCGACTCCGCCTACAGGATTCAGACAACCAATTTCAAAGGAGGAAATTAATTAAAACAAATCTTGCAGGTTATATTAAATTGTATTTTAAGTATAATTATCTGATAATAAAGATATTCCCACACATGCAGCTCTCACCTTTTTTGGTTTGCTGAGTAGCGAGAGCAGGACTTTCCATCCCAGGCACAGTAAGGGTCTCTGGCCAAGCAGCAGTCAGCACAGGCCTCTCCGTACACATCACATCTGTGCAGCGCCAGATGAGTGACACCCACCACTGAACTCACATACAGCTGTTGCTACACAGGAAGACAGGGGAAATTAAAGAACAGTTAGAAGAGTATCATTAAAAACACATCATATAGCGATTCAAAGAATATGTTAAGAATATGTTCCATATTTGTAAGTTGCTTTGCATCAAACCATCTGCTAAATAACAATGTGAATAATCAGTTTTAAAACTATATATTATTACTATGAATATTTAAAAAAAAAAAAATTTAATGTTGTGCTTACCCGTTTTGGTGAAATTTTCATAGTAGTGATTGGAGTTGGAACCTGTAATAAGAATTATAGTTATATGTTATGAAAAAAAAACTTTAAAATAGTATATAACAATAAATATATTTTAGAATTTTATGAAATATAATAACAAAAGATACATTTTAATAATAAAAAAGACAGTATATTGTTCTCAATATGTTGACACAAAATGTAATGGAAATATAAAAAAAGAGGATCTTACTCTGAAGACCTCAACCTCCTCCAGCACCAGCTCTTCAGTCTGTAGATCATCTCTGGGCAGGACAATCACTTTATGAATAGTTCCTCTATCTGTAATTGACCAGAATATAGGAGTCAGAGCTATTTATAATATATAATATTCTTTTTGAGTGAATAAAGTTTCCTTAATTTTTCTGAAGAGCTTTATAAAAAGGCTTTTAGACCTCACAGTATGTATACTGTTTATGTATAAAATAAATATATTACTTAAAATGTGTATCAAGTTTACCTGTTCCCAAAAAAAGAACTTCATAGTTGCCATCAGCTGCAGCCACTTGGTCCACTGTGATGGTGGTGAACTCATAATCCACATTGGTGCGGACCACTAGGGGGCGCTTGTGGACTGGATAAACAGCGTTGAACATGGTCGGATGATTGCGCATGAAGTTGATAACCTCATCAGGGTAATCTTTAGTAGATTTCATGTTGGGGGTGAACGTCCCTCCTGGACACTGAAGTCACAGGGATAACATTTGTATTCCAGCATTTAAGACTGTCCAACATTTACTATCTTGTTCATATGATGTATTACAGTACATGTTAGAGATGACACTCACTGTTCCTGGACGGGGGTAAGGAATTTTACCCTGGTAGGCAACCCACTGGTAGTTTGGCCCTTCCTTATGAGCGAAAGGGCCATTGAAGACCATGCGGACATCAGCCATTGAATACACACATACTGCTGAACCTTTAAATACAGACCTAGAGATGCAGAAAGAGAAGAATTCATGTGTTGAAACAAAAAGAGAGGTGGAATAAAAATATAAAATATAAAAATTTAAAATATAATTTATTTCTGTGATGCAAAGCTGAATTTCCATCAGCCACTACTCCAGTATAAAGTGTCACATGATGCTTAAGAAACCATTCTAATATGCTGATTCATTATTAGAATTATCAATGTTGGCAACAGTTGTGCTGCCAAATATTTTTTTGGAAACTTCAATACTTTTTTCAGGATTCTTTGATGAATAAAATGTTAAAAAGAACAGCATTTATTCAAAATATAAATACAAAATATTTTCTAACAATATAAATCTTTGCTATCACTTCTTAACGATTTAACACATCCTTGCTGAATAAAAGTTTTAATTTCTTTCAAAAACAGAAAAAATTAAAATGTACTGACCCCAAACTTTTGAACGGTAGTGTACATTGTTAGAAATGATTTCTATTTTAAATTAGTGCTCTTCTTTTGAACTTTTTATTTATCAAAGAATCCTGAGGAAAAAGTATCACAGGTTTCAAAAAAATATTAAGCAGCACAACAGTTTCCAGCACTGATAATATATCAGCATATTAGAAAGATTTCTGAAGGATCATGTGACACTGAAGACTGGAGTAATGATGTTAAAAACTCTATGTATATTAAATTAAATATATTAATATATTAAATATATTAAAATGTATATTAAAATAGAAAAACATTACTTTACATCATAATAATATTTCACAATATTAAAAAAATTTTCCTGTATTTTTGATCAAATAAATGCAGCCTTGATGAGCATAAGAGACTTTAAAAACAGTCTTACTGATCCCAAACTTTTGAACGGCAGTGTATATATAAATTATGTTATTAATATTATAATTTAATATTTTGCAACAGCGAATTAGCTTGGGAAAAAACATTTTATGAAACAACATTTTTATTTTTTAACAACAATGAACGAATTGATTTAGTACCTCAGTATTTATTATAATATTAAATATTTTTTGTGAAATGTGTGTATATATATATATATATATATATATATATATATATACATAAATTTTTTAGTTATTATAAATATTGTCGTTTAATTTGAAATAGATTTATTTTATAACAACAGTAATGAATTGGCTTGCCGTAGAGCAGTGCACACTCTAATACGCTCATTCCAGTTAATATTACAGCTATACATTAGAAAAGAGCTCCAATCAAGTAAAACATGAAGCATTAAAACTCCAAGGGTTAATAGCAGGAGTATCATCAAAGGAGCTCATAATGCATGTATGCACACTATTTTAAAATTCGCACAAAATCAAATTTAACTCTCTTAAATACACATTTCCTGTCCTACTGTGCAAGATTCATCTGTGCATGAAATAAAATATGGTTATCTTTATGAAAATCTGCTGACCACAATAACCATTTGGCTTAAAATTGTATGCAATGTCACAATCCAATTAATTCCTTCTGGTTAAAAGCCGTAGACTACATTTTTTTCACCCAGAAACAAACTGGGATCCAAATGTCAGAACACGTTGAAAATATGCAATTCAAAATCTAATTAAAACTTGGAAATAAATAAGGTTTCAGGTTTTTTAAATATTTAAAACAAAGAAAAGTTATGCCCTAAAATGACATAAAAAGAAATACACAAGATTGTGCACTATTACTAGGTCACTAATCAAATTAAGACATTTGTAACAATAAGCATGTGAACTCCTTTGCACAAAAAGGTTCAAAATGCAAACTTGAGTGAATGTAATTACCGTAAAACAAAAGGGGAACAAACCAAATACTAAGAAATTAATACATTCATACTAATTTCTCAGTTAAATTTTAGACTCAAATATATACAGTGGGTACGGAAAGTATTCAGACCCCCTTAAATTTTTCACTCTTTGTTATATTGCAGCCATTTGCTAAAATCATTTAAGTTATTTTTTTTTCCGCTGACAATATAATTTGTTATGGAAAAAAAAAAAGTATTTTCACTAGTGATCTTACTCTTTTGGACCCAACTATAACAACAGACATAATATGAGTAGAGAAGGCAGTTTTACAAACAACATGAATACAAATACAGAGAGAGAAGAGACAGAGGGACAGATAGAGCTGTGAAATCACTTGCAGTTGATGGAGAGAGTTTTCACTATTATCACCAAGAATGGTGCTTTTGGGTATTAAGAGCCCAGACAGAGCCTGAGGGCTTCACCGATTTTATCTGAAATCTACAACGAGATTGTGAATTGCTCTAACACACAAACAGCCTTGTGTATTTACACTGGATGATTAGCATGTGAACCTCATCTAAAATGTTGACACATCCCTCTGAGGCCAGTTGTATAATATTTTAGCGTGCACGAATATCCTCTCCTAACGGCATCTGATAGCGGTGGTATTATGTAGGTAAGTCCTTATGAGAATATCACATATCAGATTCACAGAAAGGCTCCTTGCTTTGTGCTGTTGGAGGACTTGTACTACTGTCTGTGAAGCCTGCCAAATACTTGTTATTCAGTATGTTAGAAACAGTCTTCAGCAGCGGAGAAAATGGGGGTGTTGCCCCGTGGGCAACTGGAGTGTGAATATGAAAGCAAATATATTCAAGCTCCCTTGCCAATCTGATAAGCGGCCTGATTAGTAAGAGGCGTCGAGGAGAAGTGAGGATTGGATCTCGTATTTGGGGAGAGACCGTTGTGAACTTACGCACCCAGACACGGAGAAGACGCCGTAGATGACGGGATTCTTGGTGTCTTGGGTTTTTTGGATGTACACATCCCCTGAAAGGAAGATTAAATTACTTTAGTTCCTGGATTTGAAGACAAATGAACTAATTCACATACTTAAGTGTGTACTTTGATGGTGAGAAGAAAGCACATACAATGAGTATTGTAATGGGACATATTATATTATAATCATATGATTGTGTCCTGACACCACAGATTTCTACATTTCAAACTGTCAAGGCAGCTTTGGGTACTGCTTTCTATACTACTTTTGCACTGAAAAATTCACAAATTCCTCCCTTGTTACACAAGGGGTTTTGGGAAAGATTAGCACACTTTGAAAATTCACTGGATATCATATGCCATTCAGACACCTCTCTGGCATGCTGTTTTCTACGGAGCCCCTGAAGGGACATGTTGGTGGGAAAAAATGAGAAGGGAGGTAAAATTATATCACATTACTTTTGTGTACTCTCACAAAACTGCTGCGTTCCCCCGAGAAACTGTGTTTGCTCGCAAAAATTTTTGTGATGGAAATAATATAAAGTGAGAAGCAAAACCATGTTAAAAGCTTTAGCAAAAAATGCAAACTTTCTTGGTTAAATGCAATAATTTTGTGAGAGACCGCAAATGCAAATGAATGCAACATTTTTCAAGGGAATTCTTGTCTGAGAGAACACAAAGCATTGGAATATAATTTTTCCTCCCACCTCCCATTTTTCCATCACCAGAGAGGGCTCCATAGTTTTCGATGTACTATGGGACACGCTTATTCCAATTTTGAGCTCTGTTTGTTTAAGAGGCCTGGTATAGCAACAATGGCTAAACCAATAAGGGGATGGATCTTTTTTTTTGGAACAATAGAAGACAGGTGGATTATTTAAGAAAACCTGTTTGAAAACATTCACTATTTTTGCAGCTCAGTTTAGCACCACCAGTGACACCACAATTTCTGCAGCTTCAAAAGTCTGCGAGTGTATGTGGGAAGTCATCAAATCTATCTCAGTTCAGTTACATCATACAAAACCCATCACATTGAGAGGACAATCTTTCTTTCTTACTTTTCCTCTCTGTCTTTGTCTCAGCCTCCAAAATTCTCCAGCTTCTTTCAACACAAATTAACCACAAAGGACCAGAGATAGTCTGCTAGCCAAAATGAGAAAGATGAAAAAAGGCCATTGGGCCACCGTTTTACTTGAAGGACAGTGTAAGGGGGATGGGAGATAGAGGTACATAAAAAAAGGTTAAAAAGGGGGCAGAAGGAAAGAAAACAAAAGGAGACTCAGATGGTTTAGGGCAGTGTTTCCCAACCGGGGTGCCGTGTAAAAAATCCTTTTTTAATATTTTTAAATTGCTAAAATGTACAAAAAAACATCTATTATATAATATCCATTTCTGATATTGCCAATAATTAGAGATGCACCGAAATTTCGGCTGCCGAAAATTAGTTCACCGCTCAGGTTTCACTTTCAGGTGGTGTGACACTCTGCATATTATCCCGCTCTATGCTTGTGCGCTCCGCTCAGTCGCTCCACTCGTATACCGTTCATGCGAATCGGAACAGCAAAGTCCACTCAAACATTGAGCCGACAGGAAACATTGATGTAGTACAGTATTGTTTCTGTCTGCAATGACCCTACTGTGTTGTAACATGGTGTGGAATATGGGCAACTCTGGTAAAGCTGCTCTCTCATTCATTGATCTGCTAACCGCTATGTTATGCTCACGTGTTTTGATAATAATAGCTTTCTAGGACTAGAACATTATTCGGATAATTGGTAAAAAAAAGAAAAAAAAAAAGGTTAAATATCTTAGCCCTACTGTTAAGATATTTATACCTGAAAAACTAAAAAGCAATTTATTTAATTCGAAGGCCTGTTTTATTTTTTATTTGTGCTATCATTATTAATTTCTTGATTTGTTCTTATTTTATTACTGACTGCTTACTTGTCATTTTTTATTTCAATTCAAAGTTTGAAATCAAGCTATCTCGTGCTACTGCACCAAATTACCCCACTGTAAAATAAAAAAAACACTGAGTGAGCAAAAATTTGTCAAAAATTTATTTTGTATGGGTGCCACAAGTTTGTTAAAATTTCCAAAGGGTGCCGCGACTAAAAAAAGGTTGGGAAACACTGGTTTAGGGAATAAGGAGGGCAAGTGGTAAAAGCATAGACAGATGTCCCATCAAAAACAGAAAGAAGATGATCTCAGACAGATAGTCGCGGCTAAATGGACTAAGTAATCAAGTGCTGAGGGAAAATCCCACACTGCAGCGAATGAATCTCGCTCATGCCAAGCCACAAAAAACAACCCATAAAACCTCACTGCCCCTCTGAGGAAAAGGGAAAACATCTAGTCAAAAACTCCACTGACAAGTCCATTCCTCAAACACAGTGGCAGAGGGAGAGTGAATGAAAAAAAGAGGGCAGAGATGGAGAAAGGAGTCCTGAGGGTACCTTGTGCGCTATGCTACGGGAGCTGTGAAATGAAGCAAACACAGAATGACCGCTTACTCAATTTATGCACTTTGCAAAAGCAATAAAATTGCAGCATTCATGCGCTTGCGTTTATTTGCCTCTGAAGAGTGGCAGAGGCTGTTACAGCTGGTTTGTCAGCCAATCCTATTCAGTCCTGTCAATCAAACTCTCCCACTCTGGGAAAGACTTCATTTTGTGTAAGCCTGTTAAGATGTAGCTTACATGCATGAGTTACCTCACACATGTGCACATAAATGCACAATCATGTATGAAGCATAATGTAAAACCACAAAAAAGAGAGATATTTTTATTTTCAGGCAGTTGTAGTACAACTTTTTAAAAGCCCAATTTGTCATTTTAAGCTCTACAGGAATTTCAATTTCATACTCCGAACTGCTTGCCTCTATATATTCCTCACAGGCCCTTGTGGCACTTTACGCTTACGCACAAATGCTACATGCTGCACATACAGGAAAGAGAGGAAATTACTTTTTCCATGTTATACCCTCTGGAGAGACATATCCATTGAACCATCAGACATGAGCGGTTTCCACAAATGAGCTATATCATGCCCTATCCTGAAATAAGAGGCCTCTTATTTCAGCGAGTATATTGTGAAAATGAACAGAACAGAACTGACTATAAAGTACCTTGGGCAAATACCTCACTGTATATATGGATTCAATCAAATGGTAAAGCTGTTTTATTTCATTTTTTTATAATCTCCACAGAATAATAGAACATAAAATGCCCGCAAGAAATCTGAATTAGATGGAAAGATTTATCAAATAATCAGCACTTTGAACTATCATGTTTGTCTTAGACATGCACTATGACAATACCACATTTTTGTCCGTGTACCCTGCTAGTGCCATGGTATTCTTGGAAGTGCCATGGGGTAGCACCAAAATACAGGTCTTTTTGTACTTTTTTTTTTTTTTTTTACTTTTTGTTATGTACACTGACAAAAAAGTAGTATGGTATTACGGTTGGACATGTACCAAATAAAAAATAAATAAATTATAGTACCATGGTATATTTTAAATATTTAAAAGTACCATGCTTTTATCTGATGATGCCTACAATTTACCATGGTACTGCCACAGTACTTTTTGTAAGGGTAAGTATCATGGTATATATCAAAGTTACATGGTATTACACTTACAAAAAGGTAACAAAAAAGTACTATGATATTAGCATGGTATTCTAAAAATCATAAATGCTAAATTATAGTACAATGGTATATTTAAAATATTTAAAAGTACCATGGGTTTATCTGATGAAACCAATACTTTACCAAGGTACCGCCTCAGTATTTTTTGATAGCCATCATACTGACCCTTACAAAAAATACTGAGGTGGTACCGTGGTAAAGTATTGGTTTCATCAGATAAAATCATGGTACTTTTAAATATTTTATATTCTTACTATGGTATTACACCTACAAAAAGTTAACAAACAGTACATTAGTATTGCCATGGTAATATCATGGTATTTTGGACATTTACCATATAAAAAAAACTCAAATTATATTCAAAAGTACCATGGTTTTATCTGATCACACCAGTATTTTACCATGGTACCACAGCAGTAATTCAACTATATAGAATTGTCCTCTTGGACTGCTTGTATTTAATTTAAAATGTCCTTTTGTATTAAATTCAAACAGTCAAAAAGGACAATTCTAAATTGGCTTTAAAATATTTATTATTTTTCACTTAACAAAAGTAAATCTGACTTAATATTGTAAAGCATCCTGGTCTAAAGTTATTTAATCTAGATCAAATGTCAGTTTTCAATACAAGAAATGATCAGTTCACAGGAAATTATACAGAATTTACAGCTCAGATAACAGAGAGACTTACGGAGCTCATCGAAATGTGTCTCCATGCCATCAGAGCCAGTCACAGAGCAGATGAGCCGAGCCTTCAGGAAGGTACTCCACTTATTCACCAGACAGCAGTGTCCTCCGTCATCATTCTGTAGACGAAGTGAAGTCATGTTAGCCATGAAGATTCACTGTTAGACACCACACAAAGTCTAGCTGTATAGTTTGATTTGATGGACACCTTGACACTCTGTATGTGTGAAATTAAGGCATTGCTTTACATCAGTATCTGTCCCTCTCTCAAGGCTATTTATGTGGGTTTGCATTAACTGGCTGTGACTGGGTTGTAAACATTGGCTTTGAGCACTGCTCAGCCCCATCTGCTGTGGACAGCAGCCAACTTCAATAATGAGACGCAGCGATGCCCAGTGACCAGCCGCCAGCAGCTACCCACACATTACAAACATGCTTCTTTGATTCACATTAGAACAGCAAAAAATAACCAAGAAACAAGCGGTTGCTCATGTAGGAGGCATTAGACAATGATGGATCCCGAGGATCTGTCAATCAACAGTTCAGTTCTGCATGGACATAATTTCTTCAGTGTCATGTTCAGCATAGGAACACCCAATAATTGAAAAATGTATAGTATATTGCAGTGCTTATAAAACAATGAATGGGATTATGTTAAGATTTAGTCACCCGCATGTAGTTCATCCAAACTCATATGACTTACTTCTTTCTGTGGAACGTAAACGAAGATATTTTGAAGAATGTACTTGTTTGTCTTTGCTGTACAGTGACAATTAAAGGGGACAGGAGCTTTTTTCAAGCTTCAAAAATGATGCAAAGGCACATAAAAAGTCTGTGAGACTATATTTCAGGTCTTCTGAAACCATATGATAGCTCTGTGTGAGAAACAGACCGAAACCTGACAACACATTCCTGACATCCGTCCTACCTCTATTTGGCATCTTGTGAATGAATCAGCCTTTTGAGTCAGAGCTTTTCACTGAATCAGTTCACAAAACAGTCCAACTGATTCATTCTTGAAGACTAATCCGGTTCTCGAGCTCAATGATTTTATTTGAATGAGGCAGTTCACAGCCCACCAGAGGGGATGATTATCAAAGAAAAACTACTCAAATTTTTGTGTTATTCAAACAAAAGTAATTGCTTATTGTGCAAATGTGACATGTTGTACAGGCCACTTAATAGCTCTTTTTAAAGCTTAAAATCTCTAGTCCTCATACTTTGAAACTGCATGGGAAAATGTAAGCACATTCTTCGATATTTCCCATTTTGTATATAATGGAAAAAGAAAGTTATGTGGGTTTAAAACAACATGAAGGTGAATAAGTGAACTATGCCTTTTAGCATGTGTAGATATGTTTTACTGGAATATAAGACAAAGGTTAAGAAAATGTGTCACCAAACAAATCCTGCCAATCCTAGACTGAGCCATGGGAGTCTGACCCATCTCAGACGCCTTCTCACGGAAGAAGAAATACAGCTTGTCGTCATTCTTTTCTGCACTATCAGGGATGAGCTGAGCGTGGACGAAGGTTGGATCTAAAAGAAAACGAAAAAAGAGAGAGGAAGGGAAACAGCAAAAGAGATTAATTACAGTTGTAGCAGAAAGCAAATAGAAAACAAAAAGGAGAGCAAAGGGATAATATCAAATAATACTAGAAAGTGCAACTAATGCAAAGTGTCTGATGACCTCTCTCACGGTTAGTCTATCCTCTCATTCACTACACTGAACAGTCCACATGTAAGACATCTGTATGAAATTTGTGATGGTTATCACAGTGGACACTCTTGATTAAAAAGGCAAAACTAAAGTAAAGAAGTCACGTGTAATACAAGGGAAACTCAGGTTAAAAAACTCAAAGAACAATGCTATTGAAAACTGTTAGATAAAGCATAAAGCAAGCATAAAACAAAAAGACAAAATATTTGTGTTAGTTTGCAAAAGAATATGAACATGCCTTTAATGTGACAATTAAGGCTAAATAAATATAATAGTTAAATAAATTTCAGAAAATACAAAAAAATAACTAATGAAATCAGCTATAATAGTCAGGGATTATAAAAAGGGTCAAGGATTGAGCTTAACTAGGCAGTGATTGCTTGAGGGATATCATTTTGCAAAAGTGTATGAAATATGAGGTTAGTTTGAAAGAGGTAGGATGAAGGGTCAGTGTTGAATATTCATATCTGGCACTTTCCCCACTGAACAAAGAACTTTGTCTTGATGGTATGCCATGGTTCAAAAATGTTGTGCGTACCGTGAAGCCAGCGGGAGTTATACTGGTCGGTCCTCATGGCCGTGTGTTTTCCCAACGTGCGAAAGATGGCAGAGTCTGTTCCCATAAAATCGATGTAGACACCGGCGTACAACTGGCCATCTGCCAAAACAGAGCGAGCGTTAAGGAGATAACGAGAGATAGATAGATAAACTTGAGAAAAATTAGTCTGAAACAAAAGAAATTATGTTTTGTATATTTTCTTAAAGTATTGAAAAGTAGTATGATGGCAATGAGCGGTACATACTTATCAGAGCTGAGACGCTGTTTAGTTTGGGGTCAAAGGGGCATTTCCCCTTCCCAGAATCTACTTTACCAGGCTCCAGTCGGAAAATGTATTCCTGGAACAGGGAGAGCATGAAGGTTTCATTAATGACAGCGCAACAGATCACATTAGATGAGCAGTATTGATTCTCAGCTTACTTGGATACTTTAAGTTTCCAGTGTTTAAGAGGTATAACCAGGAAGTGAAATGCACATAGGTTCACTGGGATAAATGAAAACAAAAACTAGCTGAGGTTGTAATATAATTGAAATATCTTTAGGCAACCTATTGTTTGTGCTTTTTAAATGTTGGAGTCTAACATATTGTCTAATGCCAACACCAGTATCTTGCCATTTGACTAAAGAGATCTAGTGTAAAACTGCCCAGAAAAAAGAAATTAATGCCATAATCCAAGGTTTCCAAGGTTCTTGGTAGTTGCCAAAGAAAATGAACAGTTTCTCACAATCAACTTCTCAACATATGAATCTAAAATAGTCTATATGGTTTTGTCGGGTTAGTGACAACTATTGCATTGCTGGTTTTTAGAAAAACAAAATCTCTTTAAAGGGGTCATATGATGCGATTTCAATTTTGCCTTTCTCTTTGGAGTGTTACAAGCTCTTGGTGCATAAAGAAGATCTGTAAAGTTGCAAAGACTAAAGTCTCAAAACCAAAGAGATATTCTTTATAAAAGTTAAGAGTTAACCACGCCTACCTAAAACGGCTCGTTCTAACACGCCCCCACATATGTCGCTCCGGTCGGACACGGCATCAACAGTATGGTAGGGGCATAACATTTCCGTCTCATGCTTGAGTTATTCGGCCAATCACAACGCACTGGATAGCTGGCCAATCACAGCACACCTCGCTTTTTCAGACTTTGTAAAAATTGACGCGTTTCAAAAAGGCGGGGCATAGAAGAGAAACAATAATGTACAGTATGTGGAAAATAATGTGTTTTTTTAACTTTAAACCGCATAAACACATTTCATTACACCAAATACACAAAATAATGTTCTTTTTAGCATCATCATATGACCCCTTTAAGCTAATAGTCCACTTCACTCCATGCAGTGTGCATTCCATCTACAGTTAAACAGATGCAAAACAGTATTATTAAAAAGTTTGGTGACTGCTGGATTTGCACCAAATATGCACAACAACATCTAACATGAATTAACACATTGACTAAAATCTAAGCAGAGATGTAGAAGGACATCTAAAGAGTCTACAACATGTTGCAAAGAATTTATCAACAATTCAGCAAATTCAAGTCTCAACAATGACTTTCTTTTGGATAATATTCAAAAAGTTTTTGGAACCTTTCTACTTTCCAAGCTTTACACGCACACCACAAATGTAATATAAGCCACGGATAAATTTTCTGCTGACTAACCACTTTCAAACATGATGGAGTTTGGGTGTGGGAGTAATCTTTGCACGTTCTGCTAGATTTCTGCGCCAAAGGCAGGCTCTGGACAAGTGTAGGCAAACTTGAGAAAGACAAGCTCTAAAGACAACAGTCCCTCTGCTGTTTCTCTCAACGCCTTTAGCGGCAGAGGAAACCAGCTGCTGAAAATTCAAATAGTGTGAGAACAGAACCTTTCCTTAAACTTCTAAGTAAAAAAAACATCTTGTAAGTGCATCTTAAGGGGGGAAAAAAGGCCACAAGAAAGTACAAAAAGGACCTCATCCCACTGAAGAGTTCATTTCCCACCTTGGGTGCATATGGTTCTGGTGAGGTACTAGGATCTGCGGCTCGACTGGTTCGGCCTCCCGCACGAGGCATCTGATCTTGGAGCATGCCCTATAAAACAAGGTGTGTGCCTCAATAAAGACCTGTTTCTAGGACCCAAGAGAACGTTCAAGGCTGTGTCCAAACAAGAATATGTTGAGATGCTAGAAAGATGGCTGCAGTTTGGTATATCCATAGTGGACAAAGAAGAGTTGATATTAAGTTGTCTAAAACATGCACATGCTGAAAAGCACATTCCCACTGCATATGAAAAAAACAAAAAACAGAAATGCATATTGCAGAACCCCACAAAAGAACAAAAAATGCAGTAGAATCCAAAAGCCTGAGACCAGTGAAAATGCTCATTTTATATAAATAATTGAATAATTTTTTTATTAACTGCTAATTATTGAATCAATATGTGAGTGGAAAAAAAAATAGGTTCACATGATCAGTCACAAATTTGCTTATATTTGAAAATTGACCTAGAAATAGCACAGAATTTTTACTTTTTCATTATCCATTTTTCTTTCTTTCAGATCTTTATTTCCAGTTTAAAATTTCAAGTTAAAAAAAAAAACTTTCCAGATTTCCAATGTGATCTCAGACTTTTTTGAACGATGTTTTTATGGACAGTGGTTAATAATGGTACATGGTCATGGGAAAGAAGGTAGGTGAAATTAGGACTATGTTTAAATGCAATTATCCTTCTAAACACTAGGAAGAGTTTTTGAAGTAACAGAGTCAAAAGACATGCAGGTGGTAAAGATTATCTTGTTTGTTCCAGGGTGGAGAAACATTCCTCTCTAATGACATAATACCTTTTGACTAAGGTAGCCAACAGTTTGAACCCTTGACCTGCAAATGGTAGCAGGTCACCTGCGAATGACAGTTTACCTGTGCCCTTTGACCTCTGTCCACATAGGTACAGATGGGGTTGTAAGCTCCCGTTCCGCACACATACAGGTGAGTCCTGTTCCATGACTCGATTAGACGGATGAAATTACCACACTCGCCCTGTTGACACAGAACAGAATGATATCAGCGATGCTGTCATGGAGAAATTATACTTTCAGATGGATATTGACTACTGACATGCTCACGTTGGAATAACCAGCTAAGGATTTACAAAGATTGTGGTAATTAGTAGTGATCCACCGATATTAAAATTCTGGGAAAAAATGGCACCTATAAAAATATAAACAAAGAATATAAAAAAAAATAATAGAAATTATTACATACTACTATTCAAAATATTGGTGTTGGTAACATTTTTGAAAATATTTTTGAAAGAGTTCTCTTATGCTTTCTTTAAAACTAATATTGTAAAATAATACAATTTAGTATAACTGTTTTCTATTTTAATATATTTTAAAATGTGATTAATAGAAAGATCAAAAGAACAGCATTTGTTTAAAATAAATATTTTGTATCTTTGTCAATTTGGATCAATTTAATGCATTCTTTCTGAATTAAAGTATTAATTTCCTTAAAAAACACTTTGATAAATAATTAAATAATTAAATAAGTACAGCAGAAAAGAATATCCACATTTTTTCTTGGCGGATTCTTACATTGATGTCTTTTCCTGAGAGAACACACTCAGTCCTCCTCTGAGGAGTCACAGGCCAATGAATCTGAGGAAAAAGACGAATGTCAGTCATCTTAATCTACTGACCAGATTCAAGTTTACCACTGCCAAGCCTTGCTTATAGTTTGGTTTGTTGCAATCTCTATTGTGTAACTGAGAAATCTTACTATGAGGGGGTCTTTGTTGATGTCTTTCAGGTCTAGTGACAGGATGTAGTCCTTGCTGCCCACGTACATGCGATCATGGTCCTCGTCCATACGAAGGATTCTGTAGTCCGTCGAGTTGAGCAGAAAAGCAAAGTGATGGGCAGTTCCAGTAGACTTAAGCTCTAAAAAGGACAGAGTGAAAGAGTCAATTTATTTATTTAGCAGATGCTTTTATTAAAAGCAACACACAAACCATGCAGGAAAAAAAAATACTTTCCAAGCGAGAATTTAATTTTTTATTTATTTTTGTAATATAAGTCCCTTTTATAGGGTCATGGAAATGTTGAAGGGTCAGTTCTGCCACAAGCAGCACCAAATATAATTGCAAAAATAGTGATTGGGTAACACTTTATTTTAGGGCCTCTTAACTAGTTTCTTATTAGCATGCATATTACTAGAATTTTAGCCATTTATTAGTAGTAATTAAGCACATATTAATGCCTTATTCTACATGACCTTATTCTACATCCCTAATCCTACCCAATACCTAAACTTAACAACTACCTTACTAACTATTAATAAGCAGCAAATTAGGAATTTATTGAGGGAAAAGTCGTTGTTAATAGTGAATAAGTGTTCCCTATTCTAAAGTGTTACCAGTGATTGTTTAAAACTAGCTTCCACATCTGCCCATGGTCAAATTATATGCTATAAACATGCTATTGGTTAAAACAATGTTGGGTTAACTGGGTTCTTGAGCTGCACAACTCTACAGCAACTCATCCCAGATAAAACTTGAACCCACAATGCTCAGCTTAGGAGGCCAGAGCTTCTCTGGACTGTTGGTCACATTGTTTTATTGCCCATTTGTTTTACTCACAGTAGTTTCTGGAATTCATACGGACACATGGACTTGTCAGTGGATTATGAACATTAAAGATAATGAAAACAAAATAACAGAAGCAGCCTGAATGCTTATAAACACCTTACATTTTTTTTTAAATATAATAGGCATAGGCTTTCTATTGGATGCATAGCCAAGCTCCAAATCTGCAAACTCTACATACAACTAATCCAAACACCACAAGTGTTGCCAAGTCACAGTAGTTCCTCAATAAAACGGCATCTGTGCTGCTGCATGAATATGACCAGTCTGGAGTTCTTCCCTGAGGTTCAATGCCCTGACTACATTCCTAAGTCCTTTGTTATTATTATTGTTACAGTCCTGTTTTTACAGGGTGGATTTCTTGGGGATTTTTGGTTCTCGGAGCGTTCTCGTGGGGCCTCCCTGAGTCTTATATATTACCAATACTGAGGTGTCATGCATTATTTTCCTCTTCCCCCAACAAGCTTGGTTCCCTTTGTTGGAAACTGAGTGCAGTATATGTGGCACTACATTAGATATCATAACCATTATAGGTTATGGTTCATGGAGTTCACAGCACAGTCCCTTTGGATGACCATAGAGGACTGTGTCAGATGTTGAAGGAAACCTCTGAAGAATGTAATGACACAATGCTACTGTAACACAACATATTTGCTTCTGTCTCTGATAAGGTCTACTTGAGAATCAACTGCATGTTGGAGAAATAAATAATTAATTGCAGATAGTTGGCAAAGCATATACAACAAAGATTGGCCAAGCACAATTGCAATTCCAAATCTTACTGTAACAATTCCCCATTCTATTGTGAAACAGATCGGTGCTAAAAGTCTGAAGCACATGCTTACACTTAGCAGCCCAAGGTCAAATTTGCAACTTCATAATGAAAAGAGACACCAGACCACATAACCACGTTTTAGAAATACATAATTTCTGATTGCTCAAGGCCCAATGGATGGAAAAGTGCCATCAAAAATGAACAAAATAATCTGTAATACAACCGCAAGAACATGATGTCTACATAAATGTAACAAAAAACTTTTAAAATAAGATAAATGCAGCCTCAGCTTACTTTTTTGACTTGGTTATTGTTTGTGGTTTGTATAGCAATAATGATAATTTGTGAAATTTTGCTTTGGAAAGAATCACAAAGTTGAACAATATATATAATAAAACATAGTATATCATTTTCTCACCAACCTCCCTAATTTTCCTTTTGACCAAAATTACATAAAAATATCTCCAATTTTACTTAAAACATATTATGTTGTAGATTGACTGGTCTTATAAAAATAAATGAACTTATTCATGACAGGAAAGGCTTTTTTAAGCATGTTTAAAAAATATATTAATTTTATAACAAGATCCAACAGTCAAGCTTGGCAGAATGTTTCACTGGGAAGTTTGGTAATCTAATGAAATGTGCAAGCCATAGAGAAGCACCCGTCTCTGCAAAGTACCAGTATATGAACGTTCTATCAGAAGACACAATCTACACCACTCTTATACAAAGAGATTTAGCATGGGGCCGCAGACAACATAAAATCTCATTTACCTGTGTGGGCATTCCTGGCACATAGCTAGAATTCTTCATCTCTATCATTTCAGGTTTCTAATTAAGCACCAGGGCAGGTCCACCATGTTCCAACAAGTTGTCAACCATGTCTGGCGTGTCTTTGCAAGCACTAATAACGCACTCTAGTAACAATCTCTATAAAGAAAATAGCAGGATTTTTGATATCAAGTTATGTTCTGTACAATATAACACATTGTCTTTAACATTTTAGATCTGAAACTAGGGTTGGGTACCGAAACCCGGGACCAATATGGCACCGGTACCTATGTAACCGGTATGTGCTAGAACCGAATCAGAATGCAGATTTTGGTGCCTCATTTCGGTGCCATGCCTGAGAGCGATCGATTGAAATATTTGTCCTCTGGTTCTCCGAAACAGACGTAAGAAGCACCATCACTGGCACTGCACGTGAAAAATAATTTCCCGACTGAGAAAATGCACATTAACTCAAGTCGGAAAGCTCTAATAATACAAATCCAACAAATCTTTGTAGTAACGAGTGTCCATGTTGTTTTCACATTCCGACTTAAAAGCATAACTCGGGAAATGAGAGCATCTGAGGAGTGCGTGAATGCAGTAATTACACTTGCTCTGATGGCAGCAGGTAGCCTTCCGTTAACTAAGCTAAACATGCTTAAATTAAAATGCCTAAAGCTAAACTTCCCTTGTATTCACATTTCTAAACCTGTTGTCCAACAAAAGAGAACATTATAACCTTTTTAATCCACAACACCAGTCAAATGCTTCCTTTTGTGATCTGATGTGGCTTCTTGTCACAGAACGAGGCTGATAATATGTTCCATAGGCTACTTTAAAAAGAATACATCAATTAGCAATGGATTATAAATATACTTAATTGTTAATAAGTATACCAGAGATGGCTTGAATAACACAGATAAACTAAATTATCGCAGTCGAGTGTTTATTGTCTTTGTTTTATCATTCAAAATGTTTATATGTTCTGTTTACTCAGTTACAGCTATAATAGCGATGCCTTTGTCCAAATAAGGTATTTCCTGGAGGGTCACCAGTTCCGCTACTTCCGTGACTGAATATGTGGATTTTCTGTGCGAGGTCGCCCTCTGGCATCCAGTATGAATGAAACAGACATCATGTGTTTATAGTGCTAATGGGCAAACCATCATTTTTTGGGGAATTTTTATTTGTATTTTTTTTAATAAGTATCGGTTCAGGCACCGTTTAGGCACCGGAACCGTTTTAAAAGTATCGATTTGGCACCGGTATCGGGAGAAAAAAAAAACGATACCCAACCCTATCTGAAACTAGGGGGAATGTGATCGCATTGTGTTGCAAACCAAATTTGAACTGGCTTGTGACTGGCAAAGACACTTGAAGGGCATCTGCAGCAACTAGTTTTTAGTACTACTTTAGTATCTACTGTCTGCAGTGACAACTTCATTTCATCTTACACAAACACACAAACATTTAATTTTATCTTTGGAGACTGAGCTTTATCTTCAGCTGTCCAGCCTAAATGATCACTTGAAGATTAGGTCTTATCTCATGGCTTTAAAGGGCAGTCACTTGACAGATCGCATGGATTAGAGTGACCGGTTGAAGGATGGTGGACCGAATATGATGGAGGGAGAGACCTTACCTGTGTGTGACTTTAACTGAATGAAAACTTTCCTCTCACGTTCAGCATGTGAGGCATTGATTTTAACAGCCCTCATCCCTGACAGAGGATTATTCAATCATCCTTATCTTCTGGGAAGACATGACGGGGTGATTAAAGCAAAGGATTTAATCAAACCACACAGATAAAATGTATTTTTTCTCTCTCATCTGTCCATCAAAGTCTTATGACAAATGAGGGCAAACAGACAAACGTACAACTTGCCGAGTGTATGGTAGAGGTACCCTACTACGTCAGAAACCATGAGGGACACATTTAATCTGCAACACAATATATATACATATACTTGGCCCCAAGTAGTATTTGAACAGTTAAGCCACACTTTAAATACATTTCTGTCATGACAACTCTCGGAGGGATTGGCATGGTAATGTACATGACAATGTTAATGTATTTGGTCTTGGTGGAATAGATCTGCTATGCTGCTGCGGCAGAGCAAGTACAGAGACTTGTTACTGCCAATACATCCACAACATGCTGCTGTGAGCATGTAAGAAATATTGCTGCTGCAAATATAACATACATGAAATAACCCCCATATAGCGTACATGAATCACGTCGTAGCAGATCTATACAGGTGGAGCTGGGAAAGGTGGAGGGTTTCTGAAGCAAGCTGCAACTGCTACAGCAATCACTAGTCATATATTTGAATGTTGAGCAGCGAGATCATTGGCTACCGATACAGGAGAGAACCAATCAGCTGTGCCATGTGATAATGATGTCCTCATTTCGGTGCCATGCCTGAGAGCGATCGATTGAAATATTTGTCCTCTGGTTCTCCGAAACAGACGTAAGAAGCACCATCACTGGCACTGCACGTGAAAAATAATTTCCCGACTGAGAAAATGCACATTAACTCAAGTCGGAAAGCTCTAATAATACAAATCCAACAAATCTTTGTAGTAACGAGTGTCCATGTTGTTTTCACATTCCGACTTAAAAGCATAACTCGGGAAATGAGAGCATCTGAGGAGTGCGTGAATGCAGTAATTACACTTGCTCTGATGGCAGCAGGTAGCCTTCCGTTAACTAAGCTAAACATGCTTAAATTAAAATGCCTAAAGCTAAACTTC